GCAAAGTCACTTCTGCAACTTATAAGAGGACGGAAACTACAATCAGTGTTTCCAAATATTGAAATAGCACTCCGACTGTTTATGCCTTTGCCTGTAACCAATGCCAGTGGGGAGCGCTCTTTTTCAAAACTGGGACTAGTTAAAAATAGATTGACATATACTATGGGCCAAAACAGACTGAATCACCTGTCTTTGATGTCAATAGACAGTGACATTCTGCGCAAATTGGATTTTACAAGCCTCATTAAGGACTTCTCTGTTAGGAATATGTATGATTGTTCTGCTTTTGATTATTTCATGCTTTTATGTGCTGCTGCTGTTCATGGTATTTGTATGGCTTTATTTTATTGGAATATTACACAGCATTTTGATTTGTCTCTGTGAGGATGTTGTGATTTTGTCTCAGTTAAACAGGAGCTGCTGCAGATGTTTTTGGCCTAACTGTTGGTTTAGAAAGGTAAAAAAATGTTACCAGCTTGCAGGTGCATTTTGAATGCTTTTTTTCTCTGGCATTGCTGTTTATAGCAGGCTAATGTCTGAATGTGTTTGGGCTGTAGACCTAGAGTGTTGCACTTGAGACATGTAATATAGGTCTACCCTTTTACACATGGCATTAATAATTTATTTTCAGGTAAAGCATGCTGAGGAGGGGGCCACACAAAAAGTAGCCTAGGGACCCATGACCACCTTAATCTGCCACTGGACGCCACACACAACCGCCGCGACATAATGTTCAATGCGACACACACACCAGCACAGCTTTCTCTTTTTAAGTTAAAACGTGTCAACATTCCTCAGAATGTAAAGACAGATAAGCGGTATGAAAACCTTCCAGCTGTGTTTTCCTTCCGTTTTTGCTGCAGCGGTCCGTGTGACGGCGGGAGCAGAGGGCTCTGTGAGCGGGCGGCTGGCCGGACTCACACGCTCCTCCCGCGGGTTGGCGCAGGCTTCCCCCGCAGCCACTTGCGGAGCTCCTGAACTCCGACAATATTCAAGCACATTTTTGTTCCGCTATCACTTCTCGTAAAACTGTCAATATTCGAAATCTACACAGCTGATTTCACCTCAAAACTTCTCAGTAGTGGATTTAGTGATGAAATTCCATACAAAAACTGTAAAATATAAAACTTTCTGTTGCTGGCCTCTGTCTGGTGCAATGATGATGCAGTGAACAGTAATGATTCTCTCTGACCAATCAGCAGTCTGTCGTGTTTTCACGTTACATTTTAGTTTCCCTCAGCTCGCTTGGAACCTCGACAGAGGTGAGGTGATATGAAAAAAAGTACCTGGAAGCAGGTACAGGTTCAACATTTCTACAATGGAAAACCAAACAAAGGCGAGTCGAGCCAAAGGGCCTCCGCTCAGACTAGCTTGGTTTGAGGGCGTGCCTGACCCCGCTAGCCGCTTGGCAAGCTTTATGATGCGTTTTCATTGTGATGTCACAAGTAAAGGAAGTGAAGGACTGGACTACAAATGAGCTGTTTTCAAGCGGTTCAGAGCAGAGCTTTCTGTGGGAGATGGGAACTCCCTTTAGGCTGGACTTTGGGCTTTTTCACTTTACAAACCTGTTACATGCACAACAAAGATAAATAACTCAATAAAGGAGAGGGGAAAAACCAAAAAGCATAATACCACCTCTTTAATACTTTAACCTCATCATTTGAAACTTTGGTCATGTTTAATATGAACATGTGATATTGTAACATTATAGAAATGCTAGAAAATCTTAAAAAGCAAAATAGGTCCCCTGTAAGGCAAAGCAGCCGGAAGACATCAGAGAGAAAACTAGAATAATATTTCTCCATCAAAAATGATCCAGTTTCACCAAAATCAATTAACAAAAGGAAAAAATGGATTTTGGGAAAGGGAGATTTTGTTATTGTATGTTTCTCTAAAAATACACTGAGCAGACAATGCATTATTGATGCTCTCTTGTCTTCATTTGCCTATTTGGCATTTAAGTAATCCAAAAGTAACTAAAAGTAATCAGATAACATTTCTTTTATTTTCTGGTACTTGGATACTGATTACATTTTTAAACATGAAATTAGTAATTGTACCAGATTACATTTTTAAAGTAATCCTCCCAACCCTGATCACACAGCGTCTGCCACTGATTTAGACAGCAGAGTTGCACATGTTTACATTGGAAACAAGTCTCCAGTACCTTCACACAGATGTGTGTCCAGAAACACAAACATACCCACATGCCTAACCCAAACCCTAACTTATTCCTAATCTAATTGCTTTAAAGTGAGTACATGAAAAAATGTCCACACAAATTCCCTCACTCAGTCTAAACCTGAGGTCTTCCCAAAGATAGAAGTTGAGATCACACACACAGACCAACCAGGTGTTCTGGGCTGCATGACAGTATTTGACTAAGCACCAGATTTAGTCATAGGTCATTTGAATCCTATCAAGCCGATGATAAATTAAGCTTTGCAAATGCTATTGGAAATATATCAACACAACTTTACACTATAAAAGTAGCTTCAACCTGTGTTTTCAAAAAATCCTCAGAAGCTGCTGATATATGCACCTCATGTCAAACTCATTACTTCGGTGCACCCCAAAGGTTCTGTCTTGGGCGCTACTCTGTTCATCTTGTATGCAGAAAATACATCATGTTAAATGTAGTCTGGCTCACAGGAAGTAGGCAGTGAGTGTAAACTTGCCTCAGGCAGACAATTTCAGCCTGAAGGGATGAACGACAGCCAGGTAGCGCTCCACACAGGTCAGGATGTGAAAAAATGTCTCTCCATACCAGGTGAAGGACCAAAGACAGATCCCCACAAAAAACACATTGACATGATCCCTTATAGAGACCACAAAGGATGCGGATGCATCTGAAGACACCAATCAGCTCCATGGCAACCATGTGGTAGGTGAAACTGTCTGTGTGACTCGTCATTGCTGCTGTGGTGGTGGAGGACGATGAAAAGTTGACTGACATCTGGAAGAGAAATACATGAAAATCAAAAGGAGAAAATGTATAAATATATATATTGCATGTCTTTCAATTCTAGAAGAGGAATCAGTCCTCTGCTGCTCCTCCTGCCTAAGTCTCAGCCCATAGCAGACACCGTCAACAGTAATTGTAATGCAACCCGTATCCTGTAGAGAGCTGGGACAGGTGTATGGCACTCTGACCCAGACTTATTGGGCAGCTGGCCTCTAAATCATGGAGACTACAACGCATCTGTCAGGACAACATGTTTAGACAGAAAAACGCTTTAAATGCAATGCGAAGTGGCTGGAAGTCAGTTGCATTCTGGAATGTCAACTTTGGCTTTTCTTTTAAAAGAATAAATTCTATTTTGCATTTAAATCTGATCATTAATCTTTTGGACTTCAACCTGTGGTCTATTTTTCTTGAGAGGACAAGTGTTGGAAAAGGATTTCAGACTTTTATCTGGTCCAGTCCTCAGCTTCTATCTCTAACCATTTCCTTTTGGGCAATCACTATACCCTAAGTATAGCAATGGCTGTGTTCGAAACGGGGTAAAAACAGGACAGCGAGGCACTGAGTGTTGTTTGAAACGTATCGTATGACCTTTTTCTGTCTCGTAAGATGTCTTCAAACTGCCCCCGTAGCAGTCGGTTTTGAAGGCAGCACTGATGTTGACTTTATGCCAATATAGATATGATATGATATTGCCGCCTATTACCCATCGGTCTGTGCACCAGCGGTAACTCACAAAAAATGGACAGGATGGTAGACAAACAAGCCAAATTTCACATACAAATGTAAGTTTGTTAAGTTTTTAGTAGTTTTTTTGCCTCAATTTTTGAAAAGTTAGTAAGAACTTTAGCCTGTATCTGTAACCAAGCAAGTTTGTTAAGTATGATTTCTGAGGCTTCTGTCATCGATTTGCATTTTCAATAGCTAGCTGGTGCTAAGGCTAGTGACTGACAGCCAGAAGAGACAAAAGACGTCATGCTGATGTCACACATTGCCGTAAATGCTGCCCTAAAAGGCTGTTCAAAACCAATGTTCATAGCGATGCCTTCACTCAAAAGTTATGCCTTGTGAGGCACCTGTCTATTACGGCAGCGAGGCAATGAGGCAACTGCTTTCTGTTTCAAACACAGCCAATGTGTCATGCCTTGGGGGTTTTGTGTTATTGTTTCATGTTTTATTTTGTTGAACCATTCCTATTGTCTTTCTGAACTTTTATTCCTGTCTTTGTGCCTTCTTGCTCTGTGTTTTTAATTTGTTCCACTCCCTCTTAGGTTTGGTTGCTCATCTTCTGTTTTTGATTATGTTTTTTACTGTGTTTCCTATTATACTTTGGTATTTTCTTCTTATTTCAGTTTAGTTCACTCCACTTTTGTGCCAGTTCATTGTTCTAGCCTTCTTCTCAGTGTTTGTTTCCCTGTGGGTTTTCTTGTGTTTCCCCTAGAACATTGTTTCTGGACTTTGGATTTTGAACTGTGGATTTTGTTTACCTTACCTAGTTGTAAGCCTTGTGTTCCTGTTTTACCGTTCTGTTTATAAGCATATTTAAACTGTACCTGTTCTGCCTTCGATGTCTTCAACTGGGTCCAAACCCTTGTTTTCCTTCCACCCCGCTAGCAGCATTTCTGATACAATATTTTAAAAGTTACGAGTGAGATTCTGAATATCTTTGTTTTTAAAAGAAGGAAGAATAAACCTTTTGCAGAAATATGGAAAATTCTCTAACCCATATTATTTACATTGTGTTTTAATTTAATTTTACAAATACTGATCTGATTTGTGTTTTAAGTGTCTAATGAAAGTTTAATATGGTTCTTTGATCATTTCAGTTCAAGTGTTCTTTGTCAATTGCATAACTTGCATTTTTGCTGTAGGGAGCAATTCAACTTGTAAGTGGTGCTCTGCTCTCTCTCTGCCTGCCTCGTTAGCCTCATGTCTGTCACCTGTGTTGCTCCTGCCCTGCTCATTATCCCTGGTATATATGTGTGGTCTTTCTGTTCAGCCCTTGTCCGGTCATTGTTTGTGTTACCTTCTGTGCGTGGATTCCCCAGTGTTAGGTCTTGTTGCCTGTCTTCCTTGTTGTGTCTCTCTGTTTCCCTGCTCATTTTGGATTTTTCACCTGTTTGGATAACCTGTTTTTGGACTCTTTAGTTTGTATTAAACTCCATTCAACTGTTCCTCCTCTGCCTTGCGTCCTGCGTTTGGGTCCTCCAACCTGCCTCCACACCACCCATCGTAACAGCACTTCATCAGAGGCAGTGAACATGTGTGGATTTGTGGTGAGGTTTATCACCTGATAAGCATAGGAGGCATTATATACGTATTTCATGCCCCCCCCCCCTCTTCCTGGCTCAGGCGATTACAGAGCTGGCTCATATAGGAGGCGGTTTGCTAAGTGACCAGTCAATCACTCACACACTCCACATCAGTCACAGACAAAATGTAGCCTATAGAAATGTTGAGGGAGAAGAAAAGAAGATGCTCGAGGCCGATGCAGCAAAGTGCCTCAATTTTACAGACTTTTCTTTTGTGCTGCTGTCACTTCTAGCTTAAGGCAGCAGTGATGATGTCTGCAGCAGGGGTACATCTAATGTACTTTTTATTATGCTAAATTTTCCATTCATACCGTCATAAGTTAACCAGTTTGTAATCTGCATTTTGCTTCATTAACTGAAATGATGTCACAGTTGGTTCTGTGACACTTGTTTTTTTTTTTCCTTTTTTTCCCCTGTGGTGTTCTGTGGGTGTGTCTTACACTTGGCAGGGAGCTGATCGCCCAGCGAGGCTACACACCTGTTGCCAATCCTCATCAAAGCCTGGCCTTAAGATGTGGGGCTCCCTGAGACTCATCGTCAGATTACTCCTAGTCATCGCATGGTTGAGTACTTCAGGCCTGTTTAGTTACTTGAGCATTGAGTTTGTTTCTAGTGTGTTCTCTCCCTGGACCTGGATGAATGTTCTTTTGTCTTTCTCCTTTTTCAAGTTACTGCATCCGGTGTGTCTTTTTCCTGCTTGGAGGATATTTAGGAGTGCCCGTGCTCACATCTCACCTACTACCACTGTACTAAAAGTTCCTCAGTTCTTTGTAAAAAAAACTCTTTAACTGGCCTTGAGTGTTCTGTATCCGCATCCCGGTCCTCAGTCTTACGAAAACTTAACAAATGAGCTGTCATCCAGGCTGTGTGCGCGCAGTTACGCAGTAAAGCGTTGGTTGGGCGCTTGTCAGAGTTGGGCAGATGCAAACATTTAGAAGATCAGGCAAATATCTTTTCAGTTTAAGGCTTTATGTTCTATTAATACAACTGAAATCTAGCGCAGTCATGTTATTTGTAGTCCCTTCTGTATCTGTTATTTTAGTCTGTGTTTTGGTTCCATGTCTTGGTTCCTAGTCCGCTGTTAATGTCTCATTAGTTACTCCTGGGCCCTGTTTCAGAAAGCGGGTTCAACAAACTCTGAGTGTAAACCTGATGGAAGCGTGTGCGTGGGGATGAAAAAAAGCCATCATCAATGGAGCTCCAATACTACAATTCACCATGGCAACGGGTAAATAAAGGCAGAGCCTCCATTTTAATCGGGTGGAGCTACAAAAAATGAATGCTGCCATCGCAGACCATGATTGGCTCTAAAACACAGGAGTGGAGGATCGATACGTTAACAATATTACATTTTATAGAGCATTGCTCATTCATCATTTACCAGACTGGAATTTCCTTAATGACTGATAAAGTGCAGGAATTCTCCTCCAGCCTGTTCATTTTAATGAATTTGTTTATTCAGCTGGAACCTGACGGGAATAAATGCCGGTGACAATAACGGAAGATGAAAATATTAATCGAAGAGATTAGACATAGCTTAGGCTCCTCATTTTTGTAATGTAAAGTGTTTCTAGGTTCAAACTGACATCGTTTAAGACGTCTGTCACAATCTTGCTCATTTCGTATTTTATGAAATCCTGTTAAAACACATTCCGACTATCACCAGATAATGAAAAACTCACTTTTAAACTACATTTAGCCTATTTGTTTCAGCAGCACCACAGTCATCCTCACTTAGAAATATTCACATCATATCCAGTTGATAAATACTATAGGAATGTTCAATCTGTGCGACTACAATATGAAAGGTTACTGTTCATTGATCAGTTTTGTACAGATTACTTTAAACTGCAGCACTGTAGCGCACAGTAGGCCTAAATTTTTTGCCTTAATGTCCACAGAGTCACTGTGTTATAAAGAACAGTGTAGCTTATAGATTTTATTCTGTGCTGAGGATAAATTTATGATGTCCAAAGATAACACTCTGTCCATACATGATGACAGATGTTCAAGATCATGTTTGGGTAAAAAAGAAAACAATGGCCTATTTAGCTGTGATTTCGATGTTTCTAAAGACGTAATTGCGTTTCAATATGTGCTTTATCGACAGTATAATTGAGGAAATGAAACGGTGTGTGAGACAGCCGCTTCAAGCTCCGCAGGAGGGGAGGAGTCAGAGAGAAACTCACAGCGTAAGTTGCCGGGGTTACAGACGTAGAGTTTATCTGATCTCGCTCTCTGAAACCGAAAACCCAGAGTTTCCCTCATCTCAGACTCAACTTACTCAGAGTTTTCACTAAACTCGCTCTCTGAAACATGGCCCTGGTCCGTGTACTTCAGTGTTTGTTATTTTGATCTGTTCAGTATCTGTCTTAGAGTTGTTGAGTTTTGGGTTTGGCCCTGTCTGTTGTCTTTTGTCCAGTATCTGTTATATAATCTGTTGTCTCTTGGTATTTCCCTTATTTGGTGTTCTCTTTAATCTCAGCTTCAGTCTCTTTTCATTTTTGGTGATTGTTCTTTTGGTTATCTGTCTGTATTCATTTGTTATTTATATTCCTCTGATCTGTAACCTGTGTACTGACTGTTCCTCCAGTATCCCTCTGCCTGGCTGTCTCTCTGTTTTCCCCTGCTCTTTCCCTGCCTGCCTGTGTCTCGTTAGTCTCATGTCTGTCACCTGTGTTGCTCTCGCCCTGCTCATTAGTCCCTGGTGTGTGTATATATGTTTGCTGTTTCTCTTCAGTTCTTGTCCAGACATTGTTGCGTGTACGTGCTCTGTCCCTCATTGTATGGTTGTAGCCTGCGCTGTCTCGTCTTGCTTGTTTCCTGCCTGTTCCCTGTCACTTCTTTGGATTTTGGTTCACACACCTGTTTCTAGACTTTTCTGTTGGATCACCTTTTGTTTTCTTGGACTACGTTATTTTGGATTCCCTCTGTTCAGCCACTCTGTTTGTAAGTGGGCTCGCTCTCAGTTTGTTTCATTAAACCTTTTGAACTATACCTGCTCCGCTCTGCGTCCTGCGTTTGGATCCACCAACCTGCTCACCAAACCGAATCCTGAGACCCAGAATTCTGAGAGCTGCTCCAGTGAAACCAGCTCACAAAGATTCAGCCACCTGCGGGCTACCTGAATTTTGTGTCTATTTGTTTCTGACCTTCATCTCTCTGTGTCTCCCCTCTGAGCATCTGCTCCAAATATTCTGTACTGGGCTGTTCATTGCAGCCCCTCTCCACCTCTCTGTTTCTCTGTCTGTATTGATGTAGCATTCAAATTCAAATGTTTAGTTTGAATAATAAACAAAATAGAAATGACAGATTGGCTGACATGAATAAGCTATAGATTACATCAAAAATGGACCGACATGGATAATCATAATAATCTTTATTAAAGATTTAACAAAGATATAAACTGCTCTACGTGGTTGATCCAGGATTAAAATATTTCAATAGGCAATGAGGCAAATCAAATCAGACAATTAAACAAATCCAAAAATAAAATGGAATAGATAACCGATAATAACAAGATTCTTGTCAATTGCATATGAATAACTATTAAACTAAGTGAAAGCATTCTCACCCAATCCCTTTAACTTTGTTTTGGTTTTGCAGCACATTTACAGTAAAACCAAAACTGTAAGGTTTAGTCTCAGTGCTCTCATCTGTCTTCAGCAGAGCATCTCTGGTTCAACCACTGTAGCTAAACCAATTATTCAACATCAAACAGCACACAGACAAAGTTAGCAAGTAACTGGTGAACGAAGTTGAAAATCTAGCAGCTAAAGTGACAGAGACAGTATTTAGCAGTAGGTGGAGACCAGATGCTTAAATTATGTTTAAATAGAAAATTGATTGCTAACATGTTAGCCATAGAAATTAACATGATGATAATTATCAATACAAATTTTATCTTATCCATGTCCTCATGTGGCATTGTTCTTACGACACCATAATGTTCCTGCTCTGTGTAGAAAAAGCAGAGGCAACACCAGACTGCCAGGGAGGTTAAACCAGAGTCCACAAGACATCATCACACAATAACTATTTCCTATCGACATAGTAAAAACACCCAAAAAACTAAAACTAATAAGTGAGTTATTACAACTTATTTATTTAACACGTGCTTCAGTACTTGGGGCGAAAGTTCTGAAAACACACATGCCTTTGTTGTGAAATGCGGGAAAGCCAACTTAAACCGTTGATGTTTGTCCTTCCACTTCTCTGACTGGCTATTATGGATCAGAGCAACACTTGAGAGCACCCAGGTCAGTGTTGATATTCTTTTCATTTAAAATAGTGTTCAGTATTTGAATAGGATAAAGTTATATGCTGTGATGAATCATTAGATAAGTTGAGAATCATCATAGACAAGGTAAACGCAAATAACGTTAACTTTATTAGCAAACACTAGTGGCTAGCTAATGCATGAAAAACTTGTCTAGCCAAGTAATGTTAAGTTAGTTACCCTTAAAACCGGGCAGGCATGTTTTTTTCCGCCTGGTTCCTCCAAATAGTCTTAATTCTTTTATGTGTGAGTTGATAATATTACAGCTACATGAATAGCTTCGCTTACATTTGAATGGCTAACACTGGAATTCCAATTTTTTATCTAGCGTCAGCTTCCAGATGAGCTTTGGTACTGGTAAAAACATGAATAAATGATTAAATTGAATAATTTTAATTGTCTTTTCTGTCACAATATGTAGGCCTAGTTAAAATTCAAAATTAATGAGACAGAATATAGTTTGTCATTGGTAATTCCAGAGTGAAACTTACTTTTACAATGACAGTTGTAACTGGCACATATTGAGAAAATATTTGTTTGAGGGAAATTAACCAACTCTTAAATGTTTATTCTGTTATTGCATTACTAATTTCTAGCAACTTGTCACTTTTGTCTTTCAGATTTGAATGCTGTGCAAATTCTGTAAGTTCACCTACGACAGTGAAGCAGACTGGCCTTGCATCCATAGACTGTCCTGAATTTAGACACAGCTGGTATGTGCACTTTCAGAACCATTGGTGAGATTACACAGGACTGTTCTAATACAAGAGAAGTCAACATTTCACTGCTGATTGTAACATTAGCTAATTGTGCCAGCCATTAACCAGCACACTCCAAGACTCAGGCCAGAAGGGCAAGAGAACTTCTTAACAGACTGGATGAAGAAGCGAATTATAGATTATAGAAAATATTCTCCATATTTTGTACACTCTGTTTGTGAACATTCTCTTCATAAATACTTTTTTTTTTTTTAATAAACAATCAATCTGATGTAAGGTATTGCTTGTAGTAACAGTCAGTTAGAATAAAAAAAACTGTACACTACCTAAGGGACAAACAAAGACAGTGACTTTAATGAACATCTATCAGATATATATTAGGAGACTGCAACCTTGAAGGTCCTTCCCCTGCATCTCTGTGACAGTCAAGAGAAGTGGTTCATTAACGTTAAATATAAATTTTTATATTAAAATGAAGTTTCAAAAGTTTGTAGTTTCTTCATTGCTACACGCAACATCTACTGACTAAGACTAAGACTTTACTAAGTCTTCTCGGATCTCCTTAAATGCTACATCAGTGTATTTTGCTGTTCGAGAGGTGATACATTGTTACAACTCAAGAGTGGGACAGATTTGCTTTGAATGTAGACATTGCATGTAATTATTTACACATTCAGATGTGTCAAAGTTGTTATTAAAGTTATTACAACTTGGGGTTAAGTTACCAGAAAGGATTTGGGTTAAGAAAACTAAAAACTGAAAGTTGATCAAACAGAAAAGCAAAACTGAAAATGTTAAGTTTAATTTCCCAACTTAAAATTGTATTTATTTTATTTTATTCTATTTTGCTGGGTTATTGAATTTATTATTTTTTTTTTTTGCAGTGTAGCTGGTGAAGGAAGTTGAAAATGTAGCAGCTAAACAGCCAGATATTTGGCTCAGCAGTAGGTGGAGACAAAACCAGATTCTGTTTAAATATGCAATTATTTGCTTTTGGAGTTTTTCTGCCTCCACGTGGCGAAAAACACAAATTCAGTGGTTTTTGTGATGTCACTGTTATTGTGTAATCTTATGGTATACTTTAATAATTTTTATCTATGTATTTAATTGTATCTGAAATGATTTTGTTTAATGCAAATTTAATCTAATCCATTTCCTCATGTGGTGTTGTCCTTACAACACACCAACGTTCTTGCTTTCTGTAGAAACAGCAGAGGTAACACAAGACTGCCAGGGAGATTAAACCAGACTCCACACATCATCATCACACAATCACTCTTTCCTCTCAAAACATTAAAAACACACCAAACCAGATTCCAAACACATCTCAACACCAGCACTCCCAGAATGGCCACAATGGTGTAGAAAGCCCTCTGCTTTGATTGGTCAACCCTCTCCTGTTCCTACCCTGTTGTCCTGGCCCTGGACGAAACAGAACGCAGAGAACAGAAAGGCTGCAGAAGGAGATGATGATGAAGGAGAAAATCAAGAGACTGAAATCTATGCTGAAGGAGACTTTTTCTAGAGTTATCAGGCTTGTTACTCCAAAGCAAATCAGCCAAACACACCCAATGCTGATATTTCTAATTCTGATCCCTCTCTCCCTTCTCAGGCTCAGATAGGTGATGGGATGAACGACAGCCAGGTAGCGCTCCACACAGGTCAGGATCTGAAAGTACGTCTCTCCATACCAGGTGAAGGACCAAAGACAAAACCCTACAAAAGATACAATCACATGATCCCTATAGAGACCACAAAGGATGAGGATACATCCGAAGACACCAATCAGCTCCATGGCAACCATGTGGTAGGTGAAGCTGTCTGAGTGACTCGTCATTGCTGCTGTGGAGGTGGAGCGTCGTTGTTGAAGACCCAGGTAGAGGATGAGGATACAGAGAGGGAGGAGGAGGATGATGTTTGTGCTGAAGTACATGGTGTATATTGAGAAGCCTGTTCTGGTGAAGAAGCACTCAGTCCCAGAAAGGAGGTAGGAGTTGATGGAGGACAGATTAGGATGAAGAAGAGAGTGATTGGAGGAGAAAGAGTTTGCTGACATATCTGTAAAAGAAAGACATTAAAATTAAATTTAAAAAATGTATGAATTACATCTATTGTATGTCTTTCAATCCAAGAAGACGGACAGGTCATTCACTGTTCCTACTGCTGTTTTATTTTTTATTTTTAAGTTTTGAATTCACTGATCTAAAGATTAACTGTAAAGTCCTTTAACACACTTCAATGCTTTTGAATTACTTAAGAACTGACGTGACTTTACAGTTGCTGAGTTTAAAGTGGGCTCATCCCTTTTTTTAGATGTCTTCTTTGGAGTATCACTGCATGCACATGAGCTACATCTTTTAGATAATCATTATAACGTGAGTTTAGTAATTTTGTACAACCTATACGTGAGATTCTGAGTATCTGAGTGTTTTTCAAGATATTTAAATGTAGTTAGGAGATTGAATATTTAAATTAAATTTAACATCTGGACAGAAAAACAACCTGAAATGAATGCTATTATTGCTATATTTCCTAACATGTTTGTCAAAACAATTTCATGAGGTTGATATATGTAAATGTTGTGTTTACAGCTTGTTGAATAAAATTATCATGATCATGACATTTTGTATAGTCAAGGTTCAAAACATGATGTATCCTACATCTCACATAATGAAACTCAAAAGCATCTATCCTACATGTCTCTTAATTGCCCACTGTTTTCCTTCATGTATTTGTAGTTTCAAGCCTAACCCTGATGACGTCAAACACTGAATTTCTCAGATGTTAGAAATGTCCTTTAGAGCGGCAGAAGACATATTACAACTGAGTTCCCCTAAAGTTATATAGGAACGTAACAAAGCTTTTGTGGGAAAACTACTGGGTTTACAAAATACAGTACCAGCTGTCCAAGTGTCCAAAACAGTGAGATAAAGATTTTAGATTTAAGAAGATAATGATGTTAAAAAGTATTGCAACACCAACCTTGTATGTATTGCAGTATAAGTTATTTGTTTCTGATCTTCCTCCCTTCGTGTCTCCCCTCTGGACTCTCTGAGTATCTGCTCTAAATATTCTGTACTAGCTGTATATATTACAGCCCACTCCACCTCTGTCTGTGTGTCTCTCTTCATGTCACATTCAAATTCAGACGTTAAATTTGAATAAACAACAAAGTGGGAAAGACAAATTGACTGACATCTGGATAAACAAATAATTACATAAAAAACGGAAAATATAACAAAATGTAAATGTACATAGACAAACTCATATTAGTAATAAACTTTATTTACACAGCATTTTTCAAAACAAAGTTTCAAACTGATTTACATGGTGAATCCAGGATTAAAACAGTTCAGGAGGCAATAAGGCAAATCAAATCAGACAATTGAGACAATTCAAAAATAAAATGGAAGAAAATACCCATATAATATAGATAGCAATCATGTTAAATGCTAACGTTAACGTTATCTTGTTTCGGGTCCACTCTTTGGACTTAATGCATAAACCAGGTGCTTTCTGCTCAGATGTTGAAGCATTGCTGTTGTTCTAGGATAGTTCCGTTACAGTAGACACACTGTAAGGAGTTGTACAGTGTGTGTTTTCTTTTAGCCTGAAATGATCCCATACTTTGGACACTTTCTTTTTCTCTGGCTTGTCTCTTCTTCGTCCCTTGCTATTTTCTCTCTCTTCCTCCACTTTGCAATCTGCACCATCAAATCACGTCGTCTTTACTTGTCCACAGCATAAGCACGCTGTGCAACAGTAGTAATCATCTATGCGAAACAGCATGCTGTATTGTTATATGGATTAAACAAAGCATTGAAGCAAATAACTTGCATCAAGTGTTTTAGTTATCGGATTATTTAAATTTCTCGATAAATCGTTTCAGCCGTAAATACAATAATTACTGTAATCTAACCGAGATGATATACCAACATGAATTACCCTTGAGAGATCGGGTAAGAGAAAATGCCAGATGTTTGAGATGCTTCTTAACTAATAAAAACCTGATTGAATTACTTTTGACTTGTTTTCAAATGAAAGGTCACTGTCAAATATCACACCAAGGTTTCTGGCGGCAGGGTTTTATATTTGTAGACAGACAGCCAGGATGTTTTTGTAAATTTCGGGATAGACTTTGGAGGACCAAAAAGAATTATTTCAGATTTGTTTTCATTGTTTTCACTTTCTTTTACACGCTTTTTTGTTTGCTGTATGTGTGCTGTAAACTGAACCTTTTGCCTATGTCCTTCCACAGGGAGTATTACACAGACAGCTAAATCAGACATGAAAGTTATAAAAACAGTTCCTGTGCAATAACCCAGTAATACCAAATCATCTACTATGACTTTATACCGTATATATCTAAACTATTATATTATTGGCATAACTTTTTTTGTGCAAACTAGCAAATAATTTAACAAACTAAATTAAATGATGAACATAAACATTATACCTGCTGAACATCAGTATGTTAGCATTTTGAGTGTGTTGACATGTTGGTGTTAGCATTTACAGCCTCACAGAGCCACTAGCATGGCTATAAACCCTTAGGGCCATATTTAAACAATCTACAGTTGTCAGTCAGAAGTGCATGGAGCATTATGAAATTTCCAACTCCACTTTTGCTAGTTAAATGGCACATAATCTTACACAAAGTAAGAAACCGGGCACACAGAATTTGTATTTAGTCTCTTAATTATTCATATCATCTGGGCATAACATGAATTAAACCAAGTATTATCTATCATTACTTTTAAAAGCCAAGTGCACCTGGCGCATTGCTATTTAAATTGCAGATTAATAACGCATTATAAAAACCCATAATACACTTTAAAAACATTAAAAAGTGTTATGCAGACTAAAGAACCAGGTGTTTTTCTCAGGTGTAGGCAGAAACAAAACCAGAGGATGTGTGAATTGACAGTTGTTAACATGTTAGCCATAGCAAAGTTTTATGCCACAAAGTGGCCAAAAACATACATTAAGGTAGCATTTTGTAAACTTATTATCATCGTGTAATCTAATGGTATATGCTTCTATTGTTTTATATGTACTATTTGTCTTGTATCTGAAGTGACTTCATTTAATGCAAATCTAATGTAAACCTTGTCCTTATGTGCTGTTGTTCTTACAACACGCAAATGTTCCTGCTCTGTGTACAAACAGCAGAGGTAACACCAGACTGCTGGGAAGATTAAACCAGAATCCAGACGTCATCACACAATCAAGTTTTCCTCTTAACATTTTAAGAACACCCCAAACCAGATTCCAAACACACCTCAACACCAGCACTCCCAGTATGGCCACAATAGTGTAGAAAGCCTTCTGCTTTGATTGGTCAACCCTCTCCCTATCCCCACCCTGTTGTCCTGGCCCTGGACGAATCAGAACGCAGAGAACAGAAAGGCTGCAAAAGGAGATGATGATTAATGAAAAAATCAAGAGGCTGAAATCCATGATTAAGGAGACATTTTCTAAAGTCATCAGACTTGTTCCTCCAAAGCAAAGCAGCCAAACACAATTAATGCTGATATTTCTGATTCTGATCCCTCTCTCACTTCTCAGGCTCAGATAGGTGATGGGATGAACGACAGCCAGGTAGTGCTCCACACAGGTCAGGATCTGAAAGTACGTCTCTCCATACCAGCTGAAGGTCCAAAGACAGAACCCTGCAATAAATACAATGACACGATCCCTATAGATACCACAAAAGCAGAGGATGCATCCTAAAACACCAATCAGCTCCATGGCAACCATGTGGTAGGTGAAGCTGTCTGAGTGACTCGTCATTGCTGCTGTGGTGGTGGAGCGTCGTTGTTGCCATCGTTGAAGACCCAGGTAGAGGATGAGGATGCAGAGAGGGAAGAGGAGGATTATGTTTGTGATAAGAAATGTGCTGACTATTAAGGAGCCTGGTCTGGTGATGTAGCAAATCATTTTGTAAGGGAGGTATGGATTGATGGAGGAAAGTTCAGGATGAAGAAGAGAGTCATTGAAAGAGGAGGATGAGTTTATTGACATATCTGGAAAGGAAAAGACATAAAAAATGGATAGATTATATATATATATATCATCATCATCATCATCATCATCATATATATGTGTGTATATATATGTATATCAGGGCTGACCCCCAATAGTCAAAGATTCGATGCTTCGGTAGGCGGAGCCTGATTCGACTGTCAATCTCACAGTCGAAGCTTTGCAGCGAAACAAGGATCACGCCATTTTGGCAATATGGGGGTGCTCAACATCTGATTTTACATAGAACTACCAATTTCCTCCCAATAAGTTAATATACAGCCTGTTACAATATACATTTCAACATTTAATGCTGTAAATAAACATGTAAAAAGAATAAAACTTTCAATAAATGTTTTTAAAGGTAAATAAATCCAAAATTGTAACCCTAACCCTGGGTTGTCTGTGCGCATGTGTAGGCGTAGCGTGTGTGTGGTGGCGGAAGAGGGTGAGCCCCGGCTTCACTGGTGTTGTGCCGAGTTGTCGTGGGACCTTCGGATAATTTATCACCGTTGATGAACCACACAAAGAATATTTTATCGTTTTTAAATACCCGGCAACTTGAAATAGACCCGCAAGGAAATGCGACTCGTGTAGTTGTAGTTGTCGTCAGCATGACATGCATGCATAACTCACACTGGTGAATGACAGGCGAGAGAAAGAGACAGAGAGAGAAAAGGGTCTTCAAAAAGCCTCAGTTAAGCTGGAAATTTACAGTGTAAGTTGAATGAATAGAGACTGCAGCTCTGCAGCTCTCAAGATTAAAGCGGAGCTAACGTGTGTATCACTACATGCACATTGGCTATACCATTTGGGTAATCAGTATAACCTGAGTTTAGTACTGTTTGAAACGCTTTAAGTGATATTCTTAGTATCCTCGTTTTTAAAAGGACATGTTGTAGATATATGGAGCAATTTAACTTGTAACTGCACTATTCATTATTTTTATATGAACAATAGATCAATTGACTGAAAGGGTGCCTCTTAGAGATGAACCCAGAGAGAATTATCACCCTACTCTGCAGTTTCCCACAGCTCTACAGCACATTTAAATGTCTTTCAGCTAATAGCTGTGGTTTACTCTCACAGCTCTAATAAACCACCCACTGTAAACTATAACCCGAGTATAGCTCGACTCGGCTCGACTCTACTCGCCTTTTTTTGGTTTTCCATTGTGCAAAAATTGTACCTGTACCTCCTACCAGGTACTTTTTTTTCATACAAACTCTGTTGACGTTCCAAGCAAGCTGAAGCGATACTAAAATGTGACGTGAAAACACAGCAGACTGCTGATTGGTCAGAGAGAATCGTCACTATTCACTGCATCATCATTGCACGCCAGACAGAGGCCAGTAACATTAAATTTTAAATTTTAAAGTTTGCATACGTTAATTCATCACTAAATCCACTTCTATAAAGTTTTGAGGTGAGAAATCAGCTGTGTAGATATCAAACATTGTCAGTTTTACAAAAAGTGATGGCGGAACAAAAATGTGCTTGAAAGTTTTAGGAATTGAGGCAAGTGGCCTGCGGCAACCCGTGGGAGGAGCGTGTGAGGCCGGCCAGCTGCCCGTTTACAGAGCCCTCAGGTCCCAC